ATCTGCCACGACCACGGCGACCTCGTGCTGGGCGCAGAACTGGGAGAGCAGCTCGGGAGGCGAGCCGCCATGCAGCAGGCAGAAGGGCACGCGGAGCGCCGCCAGTTCCGTGGAGACCTCGCGCAGCCCCTTGAGCATGAAGCCGTACTCGCGGAGCGTCGATCCCGGGCCCGTGGAGGGTGAGCCGGCGGCAGGCGGAGGGAGGCAAAACACGACAGAGAGCGGGAGCGAGTGGGCCTCTGCCAGCTCTGCTGCGTGCAGCAGCGCCCAGTTGTCTTGCACCCGCTGGTCGCGGCCCATCCAGTAGACGATCCCCCCTGGTGGCGGCGGCGGTGATGGTGGAGGGCAGCGGGGGAGAGGGAAAGAGGGCTGGTGCGGGCGGGACCTGTGCCACCAGCAGGGAGCTTGGCCTTCGAGAGCAGACGCACGCGCTTCGGGTTGACGATGGCGGCGCTCTGTGATGGCATGCTGCTGAGTGAGCAGACGCTGCTGAGTGACCGCACGCCGCGCAGAGCGAGGAGGCACAGCGGCACAAGAGGCCGAATAGCTGCCGCTTCGCGGAGGATTCTCGGACTTCGCGGAGTGGAGAAAAGAATTTAAAAAAGGGGTGACAAATTTTAATACGGCCGACAAGGTTGAGACTAAATAGCGCCCGTGATTCGCACGGACCCCATACCCGAAAGAAAGAAAAGGGAGCTCGCGGGGGAGGTGACGAGTGAACTACAGGTAGTGGGGAAGGCAGCCTCGATCGCCATACAGACATGGGTGCGAAACAACGACAAGACCAAGGCACGGGCAGAGGAACGAGAGAAGAATATAGGGTGGATAAAGCTCCTGTTCACGGCATGGAGGGTGAGCCACACCGAACGTACCGAGCGAAGAGCCGAGCGGAAGGAGGACGGGGAAGACGACTCCGAGGGCGGCTCCTGGCCCGTCCCGGCCGTGACGCTGGGGCCGACTTGCTACAGCGGGCGGGGAGACGGACCGCCAGCTCTGCTGCTGCCTGTGCTGCCCGTAGTCCTCGCCTGCGAGCGAGTGCCCTTTGCGGGGCTGTCGCTCAGAGAGCGGGTGTCGCCACGGCCGTCTTCTGACCTGTTTTGTGGTCTGCGCGCTGCGCTGCGCTGCGCGTCTCGAGGCGCGCCGCAACACAGCCCGTGTAAATGGGGTAATGGATGAACCAAGCATCCCCGATGGCCGGGGGCATGTCCCATGGCCCCGGGGTGGCCGTGGGCACGCAGGGGGCGCCGCTACGGGCCGCTGCGGCGCCCATTCTATTTCGAAGAATGCCATTCTGGAATATAGAATGTAGGTCTGAGACCGAAATACCTTCCTTCCGCCGATCGGCCCCCACATGGCCACAAACTCTCTGCTCCTCGATTGATCGACCGTTCGATCGTTTCGCTGCGCCCGCGGAGTGCTCCGCAGCAACCTCGCTCTCGGGCAGAAGATCGGTCGGTACTCCGCGAGGACCGAGGTGGGGTGCTAGTCTGAGAAGGGAGGGTGTGAAGAGGCCTGTGGACGGTTACTCGATCGTGTTTGACGTCGTCAAACAGTAGTGTTTGACGACGTCACACACTACTTAGGAATGGCCGTATTGCAATAGCAGTCTAGGCACTAGGGAGCAAAAAACAAAAGGGAGCTTTCTTGGAAAATTCTTTCTCTCTGGTTTGCCTGAATGAATTTGTTTGTTTGCCTGTGTTACTCGGTTTCTCGATCGTGTATCGTGTTCGACGTCGTCGAACAATGTACGACGTCGTCGAACACAAGTGGAGAATGCATCGGCCGCCGAGGGAACGTTGGGAAGAGGCACGAGGAGGGCGGCGACCTCGACCGACTATGGAGGACCCGTCGCCAGACGACGCAGGGCAGAAGACGGTGAGGCGGAGCAGACGCGCAGGGCGAGACGAGGGAGGGAGCAGGACTTTGCGGAGATCAGCAGGAGGATGTACGAAGAGATTAGGAGCAGCAGGGACCCGAGGGACCATGTGGAAGACGGCTAGTGCTAGTCCCCCCCGTCGGGAGGACGACCCCGGCTAGTCGCCGACCACACCCACTCAAAGAACCCTGCACAAAAATCGCAAGGGCGGGGACCTGTTCTTTTTTACCCACCTCACAGTAGAGAGGTGTCCGTTTTAGCCCCCCGCTACCCGGTTGCACTCGTGCGACGTAGCGGGGGGCCACGACTACGTTTACGAAAACATAAGTAGTCCCGCGAGGTGTGAATTTGGCCGCCCCAGAAGCCCCCTTTCCAATTGACTGATTTTGCTGCGCGTCCACAGAGCGTCCAAACTTTGTTTGGGCGCGAACCGTATCTCGCAACGAATCTCGCCGGCCTCACCGCACACCGGCTCACTTTGACCGACCTACCGTCCGCTCGACTGGCCGATGAAGAGCGACCCGTACGACGCGCACTTGTCGTCCTCCCTCCTCGCCACATGACGGCCGCCCCCCGACACCGACAGTCGCGCTCCGCACGCCTTCGAGGTCAGCTGCGGCCGAGCGACGATCGGCTCGCCTCCGATCGCTGGGCGCGGTCACTCTCCGGCCCATCACCCACCTGCCGATCACCTGTCCGCCTCGCCGCGCAGACGGCGCGCTCTGGCAGACAGAGCAGCGGCCGCCTAGGCGGTCGCTGCTCCGCCCCGTCCGAATCCGTCCGCCCGCGCGTGCCGCTGCCGCCGCCGCCGCCGCTCCACCCGGTGCCCGTGTGTCGTGAGAGTTGCTTTGTGTATGTGTGTATGTCTATGTGGACAGCGACACTTATGTCACACTTGAGCCTCTATCTATGATTGTAGACCGGTACTCGGGTTTGGATGGTAGCGGGGGGCCCCGCCGGAGGCTGGTTACTGATTATTTAGTTATTTTTGAGGTCGATACTAGCTAGCGTCTATAGCTTGCCACAAGCATGCTTTACAAAAGTCCTGCTGAGCGGGACTCGCAGAACTGCCGTCCGCGCGCGCTGTGAACAGCGCCGTGGTCAAACACTGTTCAACGACGTTGAACACGTGACGGTCCAGTAACCGCTGGGGGGTGTGCGCGTTCGCAGGGAGAAGGGCCGTAAAGTAAACACGGTCTCCGAGGGTTCGACCCGCGTACCGGGTTTCCCCTGAACTCCAGGACGCCCCCTCTCTCTCTACTCGAGTAACGTACGTACTCGGAGCTAATGGACATTAGTCATTACACTGTACACCACGCCCAAACACGCACACTGCGGCAATTGTTATTTTAGTACCCAGGTACGTGAGTACGGTGTCCCTGTCCCTGTGCTCCACCTTGGCTTGAGTCAGGCTTCGGGCCTGGCCTAATTAATCGCTCGCGCGCGGGTGTGCCTGCTTGGCTTTAGCCAAACAAACAACAACAGACACTTATGGCTCTCTGATGCCCAATGCGTGCACTCGTCCCTCTCTGTATGTGTGGGTTCGTGTGTGCGGGGGCCCTCCTTGTCTCTGCCTAGACAGTGTGAGGTAACACCTACCTGCCCCCCCTCGAGTACCATACTAGGTATCGTAAGTCGCACGCGATTCTGCATTCGGCATCGATGCTACAGTACTAGTAGTATAATAGTATGTACATGGGTAAAGTGGGTTGAGGCCGCTTACTACTCGTAACGCGTAGCGGCAAGGCCCCTCTCACTCGAATCGTCCCGTCCGATAAGATCGCTCAGCAAGCGCGTACTCGCCTCATCGATGGCGCTCTTTGCCGCCGGCGATCCTTCCCGCTCTGCGGCGGGAGGCTGCGGTGGCACGTGCCAGGCGAGGCGGTGTGTCGACGTGGTGGACGAGCAGCGAGCAGCTGCTGGCGGCGGCAGCGGGTGCTCCTGCATCGGCGTCTGCGACCGAGTGTGCGCTAGCGATGCTCCTGCACCACGCTTCGGGCGGCGACCTGGAGGTGTCGCGGCGCGTTGTGGGCGCCGAGTGGTGGGTGCAGCATCGCTCGCTGAGCGCCCCGAAGGGTTTCCACTTTGATGTGGATCAGGAGCAACAGAGGCGTGGGGGGGCGCTGCGTTCGCCAGCACTCTCATCCATCCTCTATCTCACCGACGCGGGCGGGCCGACTCTAATCCTCGACCAAGTAGCCACCATCTGCAGCTGGAGCGGGCACGTGCTCCTCTCGCCTGAGCCCGCAGAGGCGGAGTTGATTCACCCGCTGGCCAACCGGTTCGTGCTATTTCGAGCGGCCTGCCTCCACGGCTGCTTGCCCCCACTCGGCGCCGGCTGCGGTGTGGAGGGCGCAGAGGCGGCAGAGCAGCCAAAGCGCACGACTCTGCTGGTCAACTGGTGGATTGGGGAGCGCCCTGCGCCGCCCTCCTGTGCCGAGGCACCCCCCTCCCTCCTCGACGAGATGCGGCGCGCCTCGGCGCCGCACTATGCCGAGGCCCTTGCTGCCGGTGGAGGGGCGTGGAAGTGGGATGAGGCAGTGGCGCGACCGCTGGATGTCAGCGACGTAGGAACAGGGGAGGCGTGCCAGCAGGTTTGCCTAGAGGTTCCGCTGCCTGCGGGTGAGGGGCCGAACGGGCGGGCACAGGCTGCGAACACGCCAGTTGACCTCTTGCTTCCTTTGGCTGGCCTGGATATTGCGGCAGCGGCGTGCGCGTCACCGGAATGGGTCGGGTGAGGCTGCAGCGCGCCATGATGGACAGCTGAGGGCGCATGTCCAGTCCAGAATTTAACCAGTACAGTAAATTATGTTGTGCAATCGTAGAGTGAGGTTGGCAAACCAGCCGGTATGGTGTACATGCAGAAGCGCAACCCCGGCGCCACAGCGACAGCGCAAGGTTTTTTTGCGAACGAGGCACCGCGCCTCGGGATACTCCTATCAGCGAGCGTCAAAAAAATCTCGGGCGCTGCTTTCTCGCTGGCGCAGGCTTGGAACGCGGCTCGGGCCCTCCCTCCTCCTCCTCCTCCGGCTCGTCGTCTGCGACTCTTCTGGCGGAGCTGGCCTGCGCGCGCAGCGCCGAGCGCTGCTTCTTCCTCTCGGCAGACTGCGCCTTGTCCCGGCGGCGCTTCATCGCGTCGACGACCAAGGCGGTCTGCTCCTCCTGCGCGTTGCATCGCGCGCTCGCGATGCGCTCGCGCGCCTCGGCCGCCTCGCGGTCCGACTTCCAGCTGCCCTCCCACAGCGTCTGCTGCATCTTGACGTGGTCGCGGATGTAGGCTTCGCGCTCGAGGTCGCTCAGGAGGCACGCCTTTGCCTTTTTGAGCAGATCGAACGCGCGTGGTGCGTCTGGATGCCGTGATTTGTCCGGGTGGCAGTGCAGCGACCGCTTGCGGAAGGCACGGTTCACATCGTCGGCGCCAGCGTCCCACGCCGCTTCGCCGACCAGGTCCGGGTAAGGCTTGGGCAGGTCGAGGATCTCAAAGTGGTTCGCGCCGCGCAGGATGGCGCGAATCACGCCGCCAGAGGAGGAGGTGGCGCGGGAGGGATCGTTCATGGCGCAAAAGAATTCCCTTCCCCTTTCTTCCTTTAT